GGGATCTCCCCCTCCCTCCCGGGTTTGGGAGCCTGGGGAGGGAGGGGGAGCCGTGGCCCGCGAATCAGCTGTTTTGCGGGCCGCGGTGCGCCGGGATCTCCCCCTCCCTCCCGGGTTTGGGAGCCTGGGGAGGGAGGGGGAGCAGCGGCGCGCGAATCAGCTGTTTTGCGGGCCGCGGTGCGCCGGGATCTCGCCCTCCCTCCCGGGTTTGGGAGCCTGGGGAGGGAGGGGGAGCAGCGGCGCGCGAATCAGCTGTTTCACGCGCCGCGGCCGCTCGGGATCTCCTCCTCTCTCCCAGGTTTGAGAGCCTGGGGGGAGGAGGCAGGGCTGGGGATTTGGAAAGGGCGGAGTTGAGGCGGGGCCGGCGGGGGGGGTAAGAAAAAAACGTGGGGGGGGAGGGGCGGCCAAAATTGTTTTTGCTTGGGGCGGCAAAAATCCTAGAGCTGGCCCTGTGTATAGTAATTAAAATAAAAATAGTTTATTGGAATAAATGTGTATAAAGCATTGAAGTAGGAAATCTCTGTTAAATCTTGTAAAAACAGTTTAAACTGGGATTTCTAACCACTGCAAACCTCTCAATATTAGATTAAGATTTGACGAGATTATATAGTGCAGTGAAAGTGCCTCATACACATTTTTAAAAATATTTCCATTCATAGCAAATGCCATAAAGACTACAGATTTTTCTCTCAAAAAATCAGCTTTGTTAATAACTGTAGTTCATACAATGTAAAAGTCTGTATTTAAGTTGCCTCAATTTTATAAAAATGGTAATAAAACTGCATCTGTACATTTGCTGCTGTATATTTCTTTTCAAGCGATCAGAGAATGTTTGCAGTTGGCAATAAATATTCAAGCACCTTGCAAATGTCCTACCAATTCCCTTTGCTGATCTGTGTGTGCCTGTGGGACTAGAATAGGAATGCATAATTTAAATATAAATTGCCTGATTTGCATATACAATTAGTCAAGCTGCAGCTTTGATCGTAAGCAAAAATTATTGTCCTGTATTGCCACTTAGATAGAATTTTAATTCACCTTGAATATTCAAAGTAAATTAGGCCCTGGCTGTATAGTTGAAGGGTATGATTTTCCCCTTTCCCGATGCCCTCCCCACAAACAACATTTATGGTATGGTAATATAAAGGCATATTTTAGCCTCATAAAATAAAGGCATAAGTTTTATCTCTAATTTTATTTCTTTCCTCTCCAAAACTTCAGTTTAAACATATCTCTTTGGAGCAGAGACTGTTTATTCACACATGTATGTACAAAGCCTACTTCAATAGGCACTAGTGTAACAGAAATAGTTTTCATTTTGAACAGGTTCAAATAAAGTCAATATGTGTCATTTGGATTGTGCATTCGTACTTTAAAATTAGGATTATTCATGATAATACAATAATCTGAAAAATTTGCTTCTTTAAATGATGCTACTATAACAAAGCAAATGACCTGAAGTGTTGGGATTACCAACTGCAAATGTAGAGCTCTAAACTGGGGAAAGTTGTGGATTTCCCACACTTGTATATACACACATGTATGTGAAATACTGAACAAAACCCAAAGTAACCATAGCACATTTGTAACTCTTACATTTTTAATTTACAGTCAAACATTTTTATTAGGAATCTATGTTTTTAATTAGACAGAACATTTAATTAAGGTGCTTTTTAAGTGGGTGAAACAATTAAGTGCAAACACTTGAGTGAAACATGTCATAATTAGTTTTAATAGAGTGTTAATTGGTACTAGGTTTGCCAAGTTAATAATTACTGCTTATTAAATTTTCAATTAATCATTGTCATTTTGCTTTGAATAAAGATGAAAATTAGATAAACTAATTCAGGGGGAGGATGGTTTCCTTGTTAATTAGAGCAGTTAATTTTTTAAAAAAGAAATTACTTGTTTTACTTGTCAGTTGAAAGCTTGTACATTAGTAAAATCTTTGCATTCTTCTTGCATCAAAAACTGAATAACCAATTCATGACAACTCATGTTTTACAGGGTAGCCTAGTAGAATGTATTACACTAATTCATACTGGATAATTTAATTGCAATGATTTATATCTGTCTAAGACAACACTAAGGCTCTGATTTTAACAAATCAGTTATGCACATGTCTGTGTGTGTGCCTACTTCCCGTTGACTTCAGTGTGCTGAAGTGACTTGCTGAATCAGGGCCTAATTCTTCAAAATATAAATGTTGGTTTGGAACAGAGATCAATTGGTAAGAACTAAAACAAAAAAGCAATGTGTTTAGACACAAAACTGGAAACATTGAAACTTACCTTTTGCATTAGAAAATTACATATTCAGGAAATGACTTTTGAAGCACTAAAGTTAGATTATCTGTTTATCAATGACTTTGTTTTAAGAGGTGTATTAACTCTGAGCACCTTTTCATTATACTCTACATTGGGTTTTTATATACCAGAGAACCTATCAGTGCCTTTAAGGGTGTATATACCAGTGTCCTGCCCTGGTTTACAGAAGATTAAAACCAGAATGTTACTTATTATTATTAATTTATTATTGGTATTATTCTAGTGCCTAGAGCTAAAAATGTTCACAGTGTCATTTCTCAATTAGTTACTTTCATAGAATTCTTTCATAAATCTAGTCCTCTGCAGAACAAATTTGTCAAGCAAAATATTCAAAAAGATACAAAAGGATAAATTGAAGATCAGAAACAGCTAAACTTTTATACTGCCCAGCATTTACTATCTGAGCACTTTATGTACTCCTCAGATAATGGGGAAGTAGAAGGAGGGAATAGGGACTCAATTTCATCCTTATCCTACTTCAGGAAGTGATGAGGCATACTATTAGCAGGGTATATGCTTCCTTTGTGCATTGTTCCCTCTAATCAAACAGTCCTGTACCAAACCTATTGTGCTGATGAAGACTTCTTGCCTTGTTTGTAGAGGAAGCAGTCAATGAAGTAAAACGTCAGGCGATGACAGAGTTGCAAAAGGCAGTGTCAGAGGCAGAACGGAAAGCCCACGACATGATCACTACAGAGAGAGCTAAAATGGAGCGCACTGTTGCAGAAGCCAAGCGACAGGCTGCAGAGGATGCATTAGCTGTTATCAATCAACAGGAAGATTCAAGTGAGGTAAGGAGTTCAGTAGGAGGGGAGTCATCTCAAAGTTTACTCAGAAGTATACCAAAGCGGAGCCTTGTTGTTAGAGTTTGAATCCACCCAGCATCCTGCAATAAAGAATTAATACTTTTTCCATTTTTTGTTTGTTTGTTTATCTTTGTCTAAGACCATAAGAACGACCATACTGGGTCAGACCAAAGGTCCATCTAGCCCAGTATCCTGTCTTCCGACAGTGGCCAGCAATTGGTTCAGAAGAAAAGTCTGAAATGGCTTTAAATTGATTGGGAGCAGGAGAATGAGGCAATAAGAATAATGCAGTGATGGGAATATAGTCTGTATATTTTCCATTTACTTTAGGTGTAAAATTAAAATACTTTAAAATAACACAATCTACTTAAAATTGGTGGTTGAAACAGGGCCGGCTCCAGGGTTTTGGCCGCCCCAAGCAGCCAAAAAAAAAAGCTGCGATCGCGATCTGCGGCGACAATTCTGCGGGAGTTCCTTTGCTCCGAGCCGGAGTGAGAGACCGTCCACCGAATTGCCGCCGAATAGCTGGACGTGCCGCCCCTCTCCGGAGTGGCCGCCCCAAGCACCTGCTTGACAAGCTGGTGCCTGGAGCCAGCCCTGGGTTGAAATAACATTCAATGAACAATGATAAATAATGAAATTCTAATGTCCCCAAAATAAGTGACATTTATTTAGGCTTATAGCAAGGTAGCTAAAATTTTGTTTACTTTTTTTTTTTGCAAAGGGAGGGAGTTTGTGTTGACATGATCAGCACAAAACTAGATTCCTGGAAGAAAAAAATTTGTATGCGGAGTTGCAAGAATGTTTCCTTAATTAGAATTTATTATTTCAGCTACAGAGATTATGTGTGAGCTGAAGGGCGGGACAAACAGCATCTGGCAAGAGAAAAATAGAATGAAAGAGCGACAAAGAGTAAAATAGGAATGAGCATGGTAAACCTCAATTCAGACTTGAACATGATAGTGGAAGCTTTGAATTCTTGTGGTATGGGACATATGGCAGCATATATAGCAGGAAGTCAGGAGTGAAAGAACAACAGACTTATTGCCAGTGCTGAAGTGTTTTGGATACAATGAAATCTTATGTCATTTAGAGAAGAAAGAAACATTAACATCCGTGTGGAAAGGAAACTCATGATTAAAAATGCCCTTATAAACTGTTGCTAAATTTATGATAGCCACTTTAACAGCTATTTCAAAATAAAATATGGTAACCAGAGAACATTGCTCTCATAAACTATTGCTCTGATTGGGAGATGTTAAAAAAATGTAGAAAAGCATGTTTTTATGCAAATTCCATAACAGAGGGAATTGGCAAACTAATAGGTGTGTTGTATCACATTATGTATGAATGTATATTTATGTACATTATTGCAAAAGCATTTTAATTACTGCATTTGCTAGTAATGTAGAAGAATGACTTAGGTTGAAGAGATTCAGATTAGGAAGTTGCACCATGCTGAAAGAACTGGCAAAAATCACAAGCTGATAAATCAGTGGCATGCTGCAATACATAGCCATAATTTGAGAAAGCATAAGAATTTAATTCATACCAGACTTCTCTGGAGATGAAAGACCATTGTGGGAACATTGGATGCCCAGAGTTTTTCCATAATGCGTAACAGATGAATAACAAGAAGACAAAAGGAATTAATTTTCAGCATCTGAAAGTTTCTCAGGAAAAGAGAGACTAAGGGAAGTGTAGGCACCCTTTAAGTACCAACTATTCCATTGCAGAATTAAATGAGACATAAATTCAAATTATTGGCATTTTGTAGCTAAGATATTCAAGGACATTCCCCCCCTCATATATTCGCATAAAGGGTATTTGTCTGACATATTGTCTGACAGCTATGATCATTAAACTGGTATCATTTTCATGTGTAAATACAAATGATTCCTATTATGAAAGCTGAAATTCCAAAGGTAACTGCCTCAGAGGAAATTGTAAAGTTAATCTGTTTAGTGAGTAAATATACAGTAGCCGGGATCAATGCAACACCTGTTATCTGCCAATACACACAGACCATTCTCCCCCAAATAAGAGTGCACCCAAAGGAATGCACACTGGGCATTTTTATGCAAGTTCTCCTGGATTCCTGAATGGTAGCACTTCTGGCAGTGGCAACATAGGAACAACCATCTCTATCTAACACTATAGTTTCATTTCCAGAGGTATTGTTTACTGGTATGTTAATTGCCTAGAAATACAAATTAAAAAGTTTTCCTTTAGCCTGGTTCCAAAGGGATGTGGATAAAAAGTATATCCATTCTACCCCGGAGCCTGTGAATAAACATTATTTGCAGGCCTCTAAATTCATCTCATCTCCAGTCAACTGGCAAGCATCCTGGCAAGATCAGACCAGACTTTAAAAATCTATTTGAAAAACACATCTAGTGGCCTGGTCCTGCAGTCTTCACTCAGGCAATGCATTGTAAGTAATGGTCCCTTTTTGGAGACAGGGTGGCTAAGTGGATGAAATCTGTGGGTGCCAGATTAGAGATCTGAGGCCAAATCCTAACCCTACTGCAATGGTGTATGGGAACCATACCTATCTTATAGTTTATGTAGTCTAGCACTGTCCATTATAAGCCTCTATTTTCAGTTGCTTTTAATTTTACCAAACTATAGCCACTTTGGGTAAAATTTACTCTCTGTTGGAATGATTTTTTTTAAGGTTCTGTAAAAATGGTTCAGCCATTGCCAAGAATGAGGTTAGTGGAAAATAGGTAGTTTTGCCCATGTTGACGCAGGTTTACAACTTTTTCCTTTTTGGAAAAGATTTAGGCCCTTTAGGGTTCAAAGGAAAAACTTGAAATTTGTTATGGGGTCAGAGACGAATCTTTTGATCTCTGTGAGAATCCATCCTGTTTTGTACCAGATGTAAAGATACAAACCTCAGTACATTTCTATGTTCAATAGACCTTGTTAGAGACATGTTGCTAAAATCTCTAAAATTACATGTGTACTGTACATGCTTCAGCCAGACACAACTCCTTGTGTGCTAAGTGCACTGAGCATGCTCCTAGGCACAAATCTCTAGACAGCAGGTTGTTGTTGCTCCCACCCTTTAGGCATACAGGAAGGCAAGGTGAACACCATGAAGGGACTAAATTTTAATCACAGCTCTTTCCTCTAACTGGTGGTGAACTGGTGTTAATTCTGTGTACTTCGCAGCCCTTATAATTAGAGACCTGTGTGGATACAAAATTTGCATCCGCATCCGATCCGCAATCCACAAAAATGGATCCGTGGATATCCGCAACCCGCAGATGTTGATATCCACGGATATAAAGCAGATATCAGTGGATTTTCAGGTCTCTACTAATAGCTCCACAGGTCACCGTGCACCAGTGATGCAAAGCTGTGCCAAGCCCCAACCCTCAACCGCCCTCCACTTTTCCCCCGGAGACCTCCTGCCCTACCGCCCACCCACTCTGTCCCGGCCATACGTCCTTCCCCACTCCAGGAAAGGAGGCTACAATCCTGGGCCCTCATGTGCAGCGCCGCCCTCCCAATCGCGGGCTTGGATACCTCTATGAAGCTGCAGCAGCTCTAATACACGCAGACCTGGCCGAGATAGACAACGGCGACAACTACTCTCCTCACAGCATCCGCCACTGCCACATGCTAGTTTAAATTACAACCACACCTCTTTTAAAATGGCACTTTGCTCACTGGGCAGGAGCACATGGTCGCACTCCCTTCTGGGAGTTGTAGTTTTCCTCCTCTGTCCAAGCAAGCTGGGGACTAAAGCTCCTAGAATACCCAGCGGGCTATTGCCACTGCAGCGTGATTCAGAGAGATGAGCTGGAGCCTGAGGGCTGGGTGACATGTGGTGAGTGTGTGCTGCAGAGCCCCACATGGATACAAAATTTGTATCTGTGTCTAAGCTGCGAGCTGCAAAAATGGTGCGTGGATATCTGCATCCGTGGATATGGGTATAAAGCGGATATCCTTGGATTTGCGGGGCTCTATTTTTAATTGAGCAAGGCCTCCATGCCTCTTGTTCAGGACGCCAGCAGCTATAATTTCCCAGCATTGTACAGCAGGGGTAATTGAGAGTTGCAAAAGGTCACTTCTGGTAGAGCTGGGAATCAAACTCAGGGGCCAATTTCTGTTCTGTGCCCAGAGATGCGACTCAAAAGAAGCAGCCCAGGAATGGAGCGGACAAAAGTGGCTTAAAGCCGTCTTTGCACCTTCTTGGTTCTAGGCTGCTCAAGGGGTGATGAAGCCATCAGCCTACATTAGTCCAGTTTACAGTAGCCTTACTCAGTTGCTCATTGGCTTCACCAGTCTGGAATGCAGACGTCTCCGACCACTCCCCATTCTGCCCCTGGCATGACCCTATTTAGAAGACTGTGGGTGAGATCAGTGTAGGGCCACACTAATCAGCTGTTCTCTGCCCATGACTGGGAAAAATTCTCCCAATGGTAGCTCCACTCCTTTGGCCCCTGTACACCACTGGAGTGGGGTTAGGATTTGACCTCAGATTTCTAAGATGGCAGCCACAAATTTTATCCACTCAGCCACCTTTTCTCCTTACAAGGCATTTGTATATTGTCTGGCACAATGGAGCCCTTGCCTGGTTGAGGCCATGTGTTGCTACTGCAATATAAATGCTTAATGGTAAAATGTATGCACCTGACTGTGCTCTCTGTAACCACTTGCACACATGTCCTTCCTGAGCCAGGAATAGAACATATGGGCTCAGGTTCCTGATTCTCTACATGCCTCCACTGTTGAATGCATAGTTGTACAAGTCTCTGAACAAGGTCTGGTTCACATCCCTCTCTGGTGCCTGGTCTACACAGAGGATAACAACCTACTCCTGCTACTAAACTATGCCAGGTATTCACTGTACATACAATTGCCTCGGTTCCAATGCTGCTGATGACCCAGTTGGGGTGGGGGTGGGGAAATGGAGTCAACATGATTTCACACAATGGAATTTGTTTTTTCAGTTGCTAAGAACATTCAGGCTG